AACGGTTTTTAATCCTGAAATTTTATCTCAAAACCGATTTTTTTTTTTTAAATAATAGACTTACGATATTTTTATCATACTTTTACCCAGACTTATGTGAAATACTAAGAAGCCATCGAAAAAAGAACTTGATATCTTTAATTTTACAAGCTCTTTTACCTCAAAACTTCTATTAAGATTTTATAACCATTTTTTAAATTCAAATATTGTAATCGACGTTTTAAAGTTTACTTTTTTATCGAATCCTTTGGAAAATTTTTGTTGGTATGTTTTTGGGTGTTGCTCTTTCTTATTGACTTAAAAAGCACCCACTTACCTATAGAAACCTGCACGAGTGTTTGTGTGTGCGAAATCCGTTCATAAATCAAACCAAACATGTTTTTTCAAAAACTTTATTTCATGAGATAACTACATAAAATCTGAAATGACTTTTCATAAATTAATTGGCAACTAGTTCGTATTAAAGAATTTTTTGATGTCTGGTAAACTGGATAATTTTTCAAACCTATTCACATTATTACAAGCTATAACATTGCCTACACTTATACACAAACCAGAGTCATTAAAGTCATTAAATCCACGTGCAGCGGAAATTATAAATTAATTTATAGCCTCTCTATCGTATTTATGCATGCAGCAAATTTCAACCTGCGCTGATAAATATTCACCCCTAGGTGGGCCCATGGGCCCATATTTATAAAAAGTGTCATTTTCGAGTATCTCACCCATTAAATTCCCCATTCCATTGTTTCGAATAAGAGCGGTCATCATCATTCACTTTGTACCTTTAAAGCCCTTCGTATCTCTCTCAGATCAGGTCATTTCGTGTCGCTTGAGGCGATTCACGTGCACGGTCTTTGGGGTGAAAAAAGGCAACGATGACTCAGGTGGGCGGCCGAAATGGACTCTACAGGATGTGGATGATTAGATACGGTTAGAGATGGACCCAGGTATGAAATATTCATTAACAGGGGAATTCGGCCTCAGCTGGGGCGAAAAGTCCCATTTTCTGCATCTATTAACAACCAACAAAGAATTCGACCCTTGGAAGGGGTTTACGCAAACAAAAACCACCAGAATGGGCAACAAATATTTCTAAATCTTGAGAAATATAATTTCTTGTCAACTTTCTATGTTGTATTAAATATAACATTTTACCACCCTGTGTACTTTAAACTTGATATCTAAGTATTTTATCTAAATATGAGCCACTTTGACACTTTTTTTTCAAAATTTGTGATAAATATGTTTTCCAATATCACAAATTTGTTTTTAATTTTTTGAATCTTGTCTTACAAAAAAATTGATGCTTTCATAATTTTTTTCAGGCTGTTGGAGTGTTTGAAATTTCGAAAAACAGTATAAGACCTTGAATTTTAATTAAAAAATAAAAAAATAATTTAAACTTGACTTGAACACAATGATTAATATAAAAAAAGTATAAAAACAATATACAAAGTCACATGTTCGCAAATTTCCAAATAAACATTGGTAATTCTTTAAAAGGTGAAAGATTTTTTTATAAAACATGCAGATTGTGAAAAAAGGCCTTAAAATATTCAGGAACAAACTTAAAATCTGGACTGAAATATTAATTAGAGAGAGAGCCCAAAAACTTGGTAATTTTAAGAGCAATTGAAGGTTTCAAAAATTAACAAAGCAGAATAAAAATTTTCAAAAAATTCACGAATGTCAATAAAAACAAAGCGAAAATTCAAACAATTCAAAAAAACATGTCTAGCTTTAAAAAAATCAGTGTCTCCCAAAAAAGGAAGTTTTATTATAAGCGAAATTAAAATTTAATGATGCCTCTACAAGAGAAAAAAAATGTTTCAAACAATGAGTAGAAGAGTTAAGTTAAGCTGTTGGAAAACCTGGAAATTCACATTTTTTTAGTTTTTGGAAACATCAAATTCAACATTCTTTTGTCACAATCTGAGTTCAAACTTTGTTATAAACCTAAGATTTTTAAAAGAAATCGTAATCTTTTAATGTTGTAATAGAAAAAAATCAATAATACTAAACCCAAATTATGTTAAATATTTTTCAACAGTTTTAAAATTTGAGATTGAATGTGTAAGACTTTGAATTTTGATAAAAATAATCACATTAACAATAATTTAAACTTGACTGGAACACAATGATGTTAAAATAAAAAAAAAGTATAAAAAGTCAATAAATATCTTCTAGAATTTCCAAATAAATAATGATACCTAACTTTTTAAATGGTGAAAGATTTTATATCAAAATGCAGATTGTGGAAAAAAGGCCGTAAAATAGTCAGGAAAAACCTTAAAATGTTTGTTGAAATATTTGGGAAAGAAATCAAAAACTTGGTAATTTTAAAAAAACTATTGAAGATACTAAACATTTTCAAAAAATTAAGGAATGTCAATTTTATAAGATAAGCGAAATCAAACTTCTTTACCGCCTTTACAAGAGGAAAAGGAACATATTGTTTTAAAAGAATGAGTAGAATTTCTTAAGAGTTGAAGTCAAGCTATAGGAAAATCTTGATATTTTACAAATGACCATTTATTTATTTTTAGTAACATCAAATTCAACATTTTTTAATTTTTTTGTTGTAATCTGAGTTCTAACATTGTTATAAATCCAAGTTTTAAAAAAAATACAATTTTTGGAGAATTTCGTGTCTTTTTTTATGAATTTTAATGCTTAAATGACGTCTAATTATTTTTGTATAATTTGCAAACAAAAATTTTAGATTTTGGAGCTTTTTTATGATTTGTAGCCTTAATATGTTAAAAAACAATTTGAAATTTCAAAACACATGGTAAGACCTTGAATTTTGCTAAAAATAAAAAATAAAAATGTAAAGGTAATTCAACTTTCACGTAAATCGTGTTCCTTGTGTTTATAAATAAAAAAATTTTTGATGGAGAAAATTGATGCAAAAACCGTCTTCAGTTCCTTCATGTTTAGAAAAAAAGAGCAATATTGGTGACTTGTTGAGAAAAATAGTTGTTCCACTTGTTCAGAACCTCTGGAACCCCTCCTAGGCATTGGCACGAGACAAAACAATCTCGATCCCTCCAAACAGGTAGGTAATAAAACCAGTCATCTCATTTTTCGACTTATTGTGCTTCAAACCTGTTCCCCACTCATCTGGGCAACTCTCCAGTTACCTGACCGGATTTTTCAGACCCAACAATAAATAAGACTCAAGAAATACTTATGAAAAAAATATTTATTCAATAAAATCGTCTTAAATCTAAGTGGAAGACATATATAACAAAAAAAATTAAAGCTGCCATCACAATTAAAAAATTGCAAAAGGTACAATTATCACAAATCTCTCAGTCGTGGTAAATCACATCAATCACTATGCTTGCGCCCATCGGTATGCAGGAACTTGTAATTCTGGTTGTTGGTAGTAGGTGATGGCGTTTTTGTCCCCTTGTTGGTTCAAATCGCAATCGGGGCCGGCCATGGAAGTCCAGAAGAAAGTCCCAGCTTCAGTCCGGGCAAAATGCACCGGAATGTATCTCTGGCCCCGGAAGACCGGAAGCACGTCCACGTGGCCTTCAGTGTACACCGGAACAGCAGCGAAGTCCTCACACGAATCAATATCTTCAAAAATCTGGTTCTCGAGTAGCTCATTGGCGAGGTTATCTTCAATCTCGTCAAAATCGGTCGATTTTTGATAACTGTTCTTCGGTGGTTTCTTCACCAAGGCCGAGATGATTTTCTTGAGGTGGTGGAAGGGCGATCGCGCCTTCTTGGCGTTGAGGAGATTCTCGTTGGTGGAGTTGTCGTTGCAGTTCATTTTCACGAATGATGTCAAGTTGTGAGGGTTCGGGCTTTTATAGGCGCCCCCTTGGGCAAAGTGGGGCACAAACCCCATGGACCTATGAGAGCTGCGGATAGGGACAGGTGTGCGTATTTTCGGTCGAGCGAGACCCATGATGGGAGACGATGGGCGATGGAGTGAGACGCACAACATGTGTGGGGTGTGGAGTCGTGAGAATCGCAACCGAGATGAGGTTCCCACACATACGAAGGCAGATGGTAAACGTGCAGGGGTGTTTTTACAAAGATTTTTGCTCGACACCTTTGTACACCCTCTCTTTGACCCTTTGCTGCTTGATCAAGGGGGTGGAATTCTACCTGCACACACACAAACATGTTTTTAAGGAAAATTTTACTCTAAATGGAATTTATTTCAATTATTAAGAGGAACAAAGAGTTGAGGATGGCTTATAGGAGTCTAATAGGAATGAGCGGTGATTACAGAGAGAGCAGGCAGGAAAATAAAAGACGACTTGTATGGCCGACATTTTTAAATGGCCGCTTGCACCTGCTGCCGAGATTTAAACGTGCGATGAGTAAAAAGGTTAAAAGGCAAGGTTTCAGAGTTTTAGGACACGATTATGAAAACGAGAACTAACATAATGATAATAATTAAGAATAATTTATTTAGACCAAAACTCTTTAAATTTAAACTCGACCTTAACCTAGAGTTGTCAAAAAAATATTACAAAACAAATATTAAATAATAAATTATTACTTAACTGTATCAAATTAGTTCCCTTCTTTCAATTTTTGAAATCGATTTTGTGAGAATAGAGTTTCAAAAAAGATTCAAAATCTTGAGAAAAAAACTGTAAGTTGCTAACAAAAATAAAGATCCTTAATTTTCAAAATTTTTTTAGACGTGTTGAATACAAGTCGAATAAAAAAAAGTTTCATAAGACCAGTATTGAAGCACAAATTCAAATTTAAAAAATGAGTGGCGTATCTAGTCGCCTTTTGATTCTTAAGACATCGCACATGAGGACGTCGCGTTCTTTGATATGTCTATTAGAGAATCAAAATGGAAGCAAACTACAAAAAACATCTTGAAAAAATGTTTAAATTTGACAGATTTGAAGCAGTTGGAATAAAAAATAGAGACGTTTTCTGCAACTAATAAAATCTATATTTTTATTTCTCAAGTGGTTTTTAGTATTTTTTAAAAGCTTTCACAATGATGTTAATTAAAAAAACATATAAAAAAAAGTCAACAAATGCTATCTTTTCAAATTTTCAATATTGATAACTTTTTCTTTTTAAAAGGTGAAAGATTTATATAAAAGTGCAGATTGTGGAAAAAGGCCTTAAAATATTTAAGAAAAACCTTAATATGTTGGGTGAAATATTTGGCATTGAGCCCAAAAATGTGGTAATTTTAAAAGCGATTGTAGATTTAAAAAAATTAGGTAATAAGTCAGAATAAACATTTTTTAAAACTGCCAATCAAAAAAACATATTCCAATATCACAAATTCTTTTTTAGTTTTTTGGAATTCTTGAATTTTTTGTCTTACAAAAATGTTACAAAAAAGTTGAGGCCCTCTTAATTTTTTTCAGGCTGTGCTTGAAATTTCGAAAAACAGTTTAGTTTGATAAAAATAATCATATTTTAAAAATAATTTAAACTTGACTTGAACACAATGATGTTAATATAAAAAAAAGTATAAAACCAACATAAAAAGTCAATAAATGCTATCTTCTTTGCAAATAAATATTGGTAATTTTTTGAATTGTGAAAGATTTTATTTAAAAGGAAAAAACTTAATATCTTGGCTGAAATATTTAGAAAGAGGCCAAAAACTTGGTAATTTTAAAAGCAATTGAAGATTTCAAAAATTAACAAAGCAGAATAAAAATTTTCAGAAAATTCACAAATTATAAAAACAAAGATTTTAAAGCAAAAATTCAAACAATTAAAAAACATGACTATCTTTAAAAAAAAATCAGTTTCTTAAGAAAGGAAGATTTGGAAATAGGCGAAATCAATTCTTTAGCGCTTCTACCAGAGAAAAGTTAAAAAAATTTTTTTAAGTCAAACTGTAGATTTTTCAAATGACCGTTTATTATTATTATTAATTATTATTAATTATTAAACTTTTGTAAAATGTTCAAAATCTTGTGAAGAACTGTTACGAAAATGAGAGCTAGAATTGTAGTCTTAAAATCGCAAGACATTACAAAATGATGCAAAGTTACGGTAAATTTTTGTAAAATTTTTAAAATCTTTAGTTTTTATTTTTATTATAAAGACAAAAAATTTAAGAGTAATATATTTTTTACAAAAAAAAAGATTTTTTACCTTCTTCAAATCTTGAATAGAACAGAAGAAAAGTTTTAGGATTTAGGATAATTAACTTCATTAAAGAGAGATCAAAACACTGTGATATGAATCAAAATTGATGAAAAAATTTGCAACAAGAACTTGAAATCTTGGTAAACAAAATAGATTTTTTTGAGAGAATTATTTTTTTTTAATTAGTAGACAGAAAGCGGATTTATTTAAGGTAGCCTCTCCTTCTAATTAATTTCTTTGTCCCTCGCTAACGGTTTTTTGCCCCCGAAGGGTTTAGGGCTACCGTAGCAAGTGCCACTTAACGGGAAAGAGTTTAAAATTGGCTCCACTTGCTGCTTCCACATAAAGGCTTACAAGAATTCGCCCTTTCATAATAGAAAAAGGGGTGAAATTCAATGCGAACAAAAGCTTGTGTGTGCTAATATGCCGTTTGAGTGGCACAACACTGTAATTCGAGAACGTATGTTTTTTGACCACTTGGAGCAAAAAAATATGAAACTTGATGAGGATCGGCGGGTAGGCTTTTTAGGATTAGGGGTTTTGATACGAATTTTTACCAAAAAATTTCAACGTGTTCTGACACGTCTCGACTTGCAAGATTGTGCAACCTCTTCTTCTATACAAATCCTCGGACAAAGAAAACAGGGATAAAAAGCAAAGCACCCGCATGGATCGGCGAGAAGCCCTTTTTTGTCCCACTTATTTAAATTGAAGAAATGTATTTTGGCTTATTGTTAACTTGTTTAATTGTTGGCGGATTATACCCGCATTGCAATGTTGCCAGGGGTAGTAAAATTTCACCAGATTTGGTGAAATTTAGTGAAAACTTTTGTAAAAATTCCAATATGTGGTGATTTTTTGGAAACGAAAAAAAAACTGCTTTTCGAGCGTTTTACACTTTTTCAACTAGAAACTTGCTTATTTCTTCAAATTTTTTCAAAAAAGTCGAAAAACCACCAATTTGGTTAAAAATAGCTCTGATTGTTTTTTTACAAGATCGAAACAGGAACGAAAATGACAATTTATTTTTGTCTTTTTCTAAAAGGTTTTCAGCTGGAAACATTATTTCGCAAAATTTCGTTAAAAACAATTCAACAAATTCGACCAAAAACGTTATTTTGTTTTGTTTTGTTTAACTGTTTAAGCACGTTTTTTGAGATAAAAACAAATAAAATTCTAAAAATTTTGTTGAAGCAGGCAAAAAAATTACGAAATTAAATAAAAATTGATATTAGTTTTAGCTAGTTTCGCTCGATTTACTTCGTTTTTGAACCAGAGGCTCATTTATTTTGCAAAAGCAAAATTTTTTTTTTGTTTTTTATGAGATATTACTAAACAGAGTGAAGATGACAACTTTTTTATGTCTTTTTCGAATGCTTTCTCTGCCAGAAACACAATTATTTTTAAAAAACGGGCCACAAATTCAACAAAATAGCCCAAAAACGGCGTTTTTAGTCTTTTTCAAGTGTTTAAGCATGTTCTTGAGAGAAAAAAACACAAAGAGTTCGAAATGTTGCATCGAAACAGGCTAAAATTTTGCGAAATAAATCGAAATTGATATCATTTTTAGCTTGTTTCGCCCGACTTGCTTCGTTTTTGAACCAGAGGTTCATTTATTTTGCAAAATCTTGTCCAAACACGCTTAAAAATTACAAAAAAATTGATATTGATGTTATTTTGTTTGTTTCACTCGATTCGATTTAACTGGTTTTTGAGCAAAATAAAACAAAAACACAATTTCTCGAAGACAAAAAAATCGAAAACACCAAATTGGTTAATTCTTTTTTGTTTTTACGAGATATTACTAAACAGGCTGAAAAATTTTCGAATGCTTTCTCTGCTAGAAACACAATTATTTTGCAAAATTTTGTTAAAAACGAGCCACGAACTCAACAAAATAGCCAAAAAATGGCATTTTTAGCTTTGTTCGAGTATTTAAGCATGTTTTTGAAAGAAAAAAAAACACAAAAGGCTCGAAATATTGCATCCAAACAGGCTAAAAAATTGCGAAAATTCATTTATTTTGCAAAATCTTGTCCAAACACGCCTAAAAATCACAAAAAGGATTGATATTGTTGTTATTTTGTTCGTTTCACTCGATTTAACTAGTTTTTGAGCAAAGTAAAGACAAAAATAAGCTGAGAAACCACAAAGCTTGACCGAAAATGCTTTTAAGCGCGGTTTTGTACTAAAATCTCAAGTTTTTCACTAGATTTCGCTAAAACAAACGAAAAAATCAAGTAATTAAGTCTAGAATTACATTATTTTTGTATTTTTCGAGCATTTTAGCTTGTTTTTCAGCTAGTAACGCAATTATTTCGCAAACAAGCCGAAAAAATTTGGCAAATTTTTCAACTCGGTTCTGGTGAATTGACACCAAATTGTAACCTGCAAAGTCGTTGAAACAGTTAATTAAAGAATTGATGGACTTGGTGTTTTAAAATCAAGTAGGAAGTAAACTAAGGCGAAAATATTCACTGACAGGTGTTTCTCGGATGACTCAGCAAAAATCCGGGCACCCGGAGCGGCCCGGAATCGCCGAATTATGAGTAAATTTAAACCCAATTGGCGGTATTTGCGTCCAAATATTTACCAGCTAATCTAATCTCAGTGTGGGCAACGTTAACAAAGCCATTATTCTCGTCTGATTTATCTGTTGGATGTGTCGAAAAGCTCCATGTTTGTGCATCTCGTTCCCTTCTTAGCTCAAATATTTGCACGCTTTCTCGTAGAAAAATTTCAGGTATTATCTCTGGAGATTTCTTCACGACCTATTAACTTATTCGTTGGTGCTTTTTTGGAACGGCAGCTGCACACCACGAGATGACTCACCTACAAGTCCCAACTTGTCTCTCCGTGATTTAAAGACCTTGACTCGCTGCTTCACTTTAATTACGAAATTTTTATTCCGGTCTTGGACATTAATTACTAGCCCTA